CAACATTGCTCCGTCGAACGTCGGAATCTCTGAAGCCGAGGCGCCCCAGCGAGTCAGCACTGCACAAGCTGACGGCCGCGCCGCTATCCAGCAGCGCGCAGGCCGCCTGTCCATTGCAGATCGCTGCTGCCGAGCAGCGCGAACTGAACAAATGGCCACATGCAGGACCCCTTGTCTCCTCTGCCTCGCTCTGCAGATTCTTCCCTTGGGCTTCCGCACTGTGTCGCCGAGACAGTCCCTGATCCGAGCCGTCACGAGCTCGCTCCTCGTTCACGATGTACGCTGAGAGCACGGGGTTCTGCTCATCTAGCGCGCCGGTCTCAGTGAGGAGGTTAAAGTGGATGCCCGCCAGACAGTGCAGGTGAATGTTGCCCCGTTTCGAGTGGCGCGCACTGCAGAAGGTCATGGGATGATCAGGTCCGAAGTGCACCAGGACTCTCACGTCGAACAGGCAAGCGAAAACCGCAAGCAGCTCCACAGCCAGCGGCTGTCCGGGCAGGCGCATCAACCGCAAGGCCTGGCGCACAGACCGGTCGAGTTTCAGTCCATACCTTCCTGGTGAGCGAAGAGCCTCGTCGATCAGCTTCGCACGGAGCTCGCGGTTGACAGCTGGCTGGAGCGCGTTGGTGCTCATCCACTCGCAGAGGCACTCTACCAGGCTGTCCCCTCCCCCCTCCGGCCGATGCGAGAGGATGAGACCGGGAGGGAGACCCGTGTCGGCGGGAGTCTCGGGCGCAGGCGGCGCGCCGTCTGGGGCTCCCACGCGGGACAGCATGTCAGCGGCAGCGTTCAGACGGCCGGGGACGTGTCGGATCTCCATGTCATAGGCCGCCAGCTCTTCCACGGTCCTCGCGACCCGGTGGTTAATCAACCGCAGTGAGTGCAGGTGAACGAGGGCCTGATGGTCGGTGTACGCGATGAAATGAACCCCAGCCAGGAACGAATGAAAAGTTTTCACGCCCCATCGGAGCGCCGCGAGTTCCCGACCAGTCGCTGAATAGCCACGCTGAGCGTTCGTGAAGGACATCGAGGCGAACGCGATGGCGCGATCCCGCCCGTCCTGACGCTGAGTGAGGCACGCGCCAGCCCCATAGGCCGAGGCGTCGACCCAGAGACAGAGAGGGTTGGCGGTGTCGCTGTAGTCTGGAAAGGCAAGCATGACGTCGCGGGCGGTCTCATTCTTCAGTTGTTCGAACGAGTCAGTCATTTCGGGTGTCCAGGTAAGCGCAGTGGAGCCAGACTGGCCGGTGAGCTCAGACAGAGGGCGAGCGACCTCCGAGCAGCGGGGAACGAACTTCCGCTGGAAGTTCACGAGGCCGAGGAACCGGCGCAGCTCCTGAACAGTCTGCGGCCGCGGGAAGCTCTGAACTTTCTCGATGTACTCAGGGGCCTTGCGCAGTCCAGCTGCCGAGAGCTGATGTCCGAGAAACTTTACTTCAGGCTGAAACCAGTGACACTTCGCTGTGTTCAGCGTGATCCCGTGCGCCTCCAGCGCCGACAGGACAGCATCCACGAGCTGCAGATGGCCGGAGAACGACGATTCCATCAGGAGCAGGTCATCCAGATACACTACAAGCTGCTGACGTGAGAATCCCGCGAAAATGGCCTGCATTTCGCGCTGGAAGACAGCAGGAGCGTTTTTCAGTCCGAAACTGAGACATCGGAACCGGTAGTGGGACCGCTGCGTGCTGAACGCGGTGAAGTCCCGCGACTCTTCTGCGATGGGAAGCTGGTAGTAGGCTCGTTGAATGTCCAGCGCGCTGAACCAGCGCATATCATGCGCGCTGTAGACGGAATCTGCTACATCTGTCATCGGGAAACGCTCTGTGACAGTGCGGCGGTTCAGGCGGCGGTAGTCGATGCATAGCCGAAGCGAACCATCGCGCTTCCGGATCGGAACGATTGGTGCATTCCATGCTGAATTGCAGCGTTCGATTATCCCCAGACGTTCAAGCTCCAGACATTGACGCTCGACATCTTCGGCGATCGGTGGAGACATCCGTCGGGGTCGCACGTAGATCGGGGTGTCATCCATTAGTTCGATTCGGTGCGCGGTCAGAGCAGTCCGCGGGGTGTCAGCGTCATCACCCCCGAACACTCTCGAGTGCCTGTCGAAGATTTCCTGCACGGCGTCGCGCTGTTCACGTGAGAGGCCAGGTATCTCGTCAGCGGACGGCGGGCGACTGACCTGTTCGTCAGCGGCGTCCGACGAAGCGGCAAGGACTTCCACGGGGGGATCGCAGTCAAACATGCTGTCCGCTGCAGTGTACAGCTGGCCGATCAGTGCACCTTTCCGGACAGTGGTTGGTACAAAGCCTCGGTTGCAAACCAGCACACAGGGCTCGGACAGATGCACAATTCCATCAACAGGTTGCAAGCAGGGCGCACTGGCGACGTCCCCAGTGAACACATACGAGCGGGAGGGCGCATCACAAACGTCGCAGGTAGGCTGGGAACTGATCAGGCAGGGGAGGGTCACAGAGTCACCAGGCGCAACTGTGACGTCTCGAGTCGCGCGACAGGGCACTGCGCGGGCAAAATACGCACAGGCGGAGTTGCGATCCCCATCAGGCAGGTACAGCGTCCACTGCGAACCATCCACATGTCGGCCAGTGACCGCTCGGCGAGAGACATCGATACACAGTCTGTGTCGTTCCAGCGCGTCACAGCCGATAATCAGATCAGTTACGGCGCGGTCCGAGTCGAGCACTAGACAGTCTGTGAGCTGAAGCGGCACCCCGTGCAGAACAACGGAGACCTCTGCACGTCCCACCGGATGTAGCGTGCGGCCGCCGATCGCGTGAACAACCTCCGAACACGGTCGAATCACAGCATCATCAACCAAGTGTCGCGCGATCATGGAGCGGTCAGAGCCAGTGTCTATCATGCCCGTCACATTCTCAGAGCACCCAGCCACAGTAAACTTCGCGTGAAGGGCTGGCTGCGGTCGGGCAGACGAGGCGAAGACAGCTTCCGCATGCAGGGGAAGCGCGGGGCTAGAATCGGTCGTAGCGGCTGGCCCCGCCGCGGCAGTACGACCATCTAGTTTTCCGTCTGACTGAGTGCTGGGGCACGCCGGCCGCGGCGGAGGGCTCGAGAAGCCCCACGCTCCACATGCATTACAGCCGGGCTTGGCGGGTCTTCTCGGGACCTGTCCAGCGGGAGTGGCGAGCTGGGGTGGCGCGCGCGACCTGGGGCTGAGGGGACAGGCCCATCGTCGTGAGGGGTGCGGCAGTCACGCGCAAAGTGGCCAGAGGCGCCGCACGTGAAACACAGGTCATTGGCACGCCGGCACTCGTCCGCGGTGTGACCGCGGCGGCGGCAGAAATCGCAGCGCAGAGGGTTCCTTTGACGGTCGCGAGTTGGCGAGTGTGCCGGCTGCACGGCAGTCGGTGCGCGGTGTCCGCGGGCTGACGCACCACGTGACTTAAATGCACCACGCGGGACGCTGACGGAACGATGAGAGCAGTCCGAGTCGCTGTCTGACTCGTCAGCGGATAAACGGAGGTCGTGGTGCGCAGGACGTGACCGTGGTGACGTTGTCCGGGGGCGGGAGCTTTTGCACGACCGGCGCGCGGCCGTTGACTGACTGCCGTGCTCCGCTGAAGCACGTGCATATAACGAGTCGTGTGTGCCATCAGCCTCCGACTCGAATCGTTCACATTCCAGGTATGACACCAACCCATCCCACCTGAGCGTGGTATCATGATTAATCAGCGCATAACGCAGCTGCCGGCGGAGAAAGTCAGCGGCACACGTGGGCAGCGTTGACAGCAGTTTACGTCGGAGATCATTGCTCACCTGTTTGTCCGCCTCAGGGTACGCATCTTCGAACAGCGCAGCCAGCCGGAACGCATACACTGCCAGAGATTCTCCCGGCCGGCGCGCGGCGTCCCGATATGCGTCCGTCGCAGTCGTCTCCTCGTAGCCGCGCTGACGAGCGGCCCACTCCAACATTCGGCGCTTGATCACTGGGTACGGGCTGCGGGGTCCGTTAGCATCGAATATTTCCAGAACGCGGCCCGACAGCTTTGAACGGAGCAGCGGCAGCGCGTCTTCCATTGTACCGCGGTATTCAGACGTACAGTACCTTTCAAACCGGGCGAAGAATTCGTCCATGGGCTCTGCTGGGTCTTCACGAAACGGGAGCAGGTCGTGAGAGCGAGTCGGATGACTCTGGACCGTCTCACGACTCACTGGAGGCCCGACGGGGGCGACGGCATCGTTTGTACCGGCGCCATTGTCGCCCGCCGGAGCCGCCCTGACAGATACGGCCTGCTGTAGCGCTGTTATCTGCCTGTCTTGATTTTGCATATGCTGCCGCATTTCTTCCATGAATGCGAGCATAGCTGTCGGTTTCGCCTCCGTGATGGCGTCAGCTGGCGGCTGTGGTGAAGCACTAGCCGGCGCGGGGTCAGAGGCCGACATGGCGTCGGAAAATTACAAGTTACGTTAAAAAAAAAATACTAACGGCACGGTACTGAGTCTCGCTGGACTAGGGACGCAGCGGACGAGCCCCCAATGTTACCGGTCGCGTGTTCTTTCCGGTTTCCAGCTCGAGAGTCTCGATTAACGGCAAAAACTGTATTGCCACTTAAACCTCGACAACATTCCCCCGCGGGTTCCCAAGCTCGACTGCCTTCCCGCCGCGTCTCTCGCCGCGCCGCGTCGCGCGGCGTCGCCATGGCAACGGACAGAGGAGATGCAAACCAAGATACCTATAAGAAAGATGCAAACTCCGACACACATACCCACGGACGCACGGCGGAGGGCGGCTTGGCGACAAAGAACCAAACATTTTTACTCTGTTACAAAGTGAGTGTATTTTTTTTCTGAGCACGAGAAATTACGTCCCTTCACAGTTCATGGTATCCTTCATTTGGTAGCATTTGGTAGTAATGTAGACTAGAAATGCCGCAATATACAAAAGTGGCGGACCGTCGTAAACGATTTGTTGTGGTTTTGGACCGCGCGTGTGTTTCGCGGGTTGCCGCCCACGCGCCCACTGTTTGTGTGTTGATTGTGAGATCGAGGATTGTGATTGACTTTGTGCAATTTCGTTGATAGCGAGTTTGTGCTGGTGATACTTGCAGTGCCGGGGTTACCGTGTATACATTCAGGTGTCAAACGCCCTGAACTGAAACACTCGCCATTCCAACGAGTCTAGGCAGTTGAGATTTCAGCCTATGAACAGTGAACACCGTGGAGCGGGGACATTTGTGAACCAACAATTATATTGGATCAACTGCAATTTTGATATGACATAAGTCCATGCCAAGTGTTCATGACATTATTATGCCGTTCGTGATTCTACAAGGCTTATGTCTATGGGAAAGAAATACCATGCTGGGGAAAAGCTAGATTGTAGTTATGATGCTGCCACCTGCAATGTTTTTGGTGAGTTCCTTATTCAGACAGATTGTGGTGGTTTCAAGTTCACAAGCTTTGCTTTTCTGCATGACAAGTTTGAGCTGACCTGCTAGTTCAGTCAAGTGTCAATTTTTCATTTTCTCTTTCCAGCTTCACTTTGTACTTCACCTTACTTATGTTCTACTGTATTTCCTCATTGTAAATGTTTCTATTCAAAGCTGCTAACATTCTGCCAAAGTGCCAAGCCTTACAACAGTAAATACGCATTTTTCCATTATACCAATACTGTCAATAATTTGTGACACTACACAAGGTGATGCTACAGCAGAGATGACCACAGATCTTTGAATGAAACCCAGATAGTCTGCCTAATATGGGCCTATCATTTATCTGTTTCATTGGTTTTTCAACATTGGTCTGTCTCATTTCAGATGGAGGGCGTGGCTGCACTGTGGGCGCAGCGGGATGCTCAGGATCTCCTGCATGCCCAGGATTTGGAGTCTGGAGCTGCTGGAACTCTCCAGGTGAGTCTGGGATAGCTATGCACCAGCCGCCCTCCCCCCCCCCCCCCCCGGCCCACAGCATGACCATGCCACCTGGGCAGATATTTTATCAGTCAGTGAGTGAGATAGATCACTGGTCACTGGTGGTGTAGCATCCACAGAGCTGGCAATGTAGTTAAGCTGCACTTCTGTGTAGAGGAGCCAATGATGGTTTTGATTACACTAGTCAAATCAGGCCTTGCAACTTGGCTGGCAAAAGAAATCTGCACTTGATGTGGATGTGAAATGGATTTCATTTAGACTGATGCTCATTTGTCTTAATTGGGATGAACACTGGCTGTATTTTGAGATTATGTAATTCTTAGTTGACTGCTCGAAACTCTTGATATATTCCGTGTCACCCTTAGCTGCAGCAACTCTAACGGGCAGAGCTCGAGGATGGTATTCCCAAGCCCTAAAACGCTCCAAATCCATACACTCCTGCCACCAAGCGTCCAATCGGCGAACCTAAGTTTCGACACCGACCACTAGGTGTCTCTGCTGTCGCTCCTTTCCACCGACCGGGAGGATGTGGTCTGTTCTGCGCCCGCGACCAACCGTGACGTCACTGGCCGAGCATGACGTCACGGTTGACGGCGCAGCCTCACCTGGCTTTGCCGCCACCGGGCCCGGTCGGTCAATGCTTCCAATAGTCGATAATTTGTCCCGTAAATGAAGGCGGCGCGTCCGCCGCACCGCGCCGCGTACGTCTCGCCCCGGCGCACCTGCGGCGCCTCTGGCACACTGGAGGCGGACGTGGCGCAGGGCAGGGCGCGTGCGCTATGGGGTGAGAGGGGGGTGGGGGTGGGAGGGGTCTTGTTGGGCATAAGAACGGGAGGATGATGGGGTTAGTGCCATGGAATCATGGTGGATGATATTAGTTTTCACCGCTTAGACTGGTTCCGCTGTGTGACTTTTTTGTTAATGCATTCTTGCTCTCATTTCTGACGAGGATGGGATGGTTCAAAAAAAGTGGAAGGAGACAGGCAAGCGGCTAGTTATTGGGTATCAGGTTTTCTTAGGGGATAACTGATGCTTACCAGCATCGAAAATGTTGGCAAGTTTTTGCCGGGCCGTTACGCCTATACCACAAAGGTATCCATTGTTCAAACATAACACTTTTCCAACCACTTGGGTGAAGTTAAAGCCTTCCATAATGCCCGCAGTATGCTGGGACCATTGCTTTTGGTCGCTCGATTGACCCGAACAAAGGATCGAAGCGCATTGAGACCGTTCAACTTTTATAACGAAGCGGTCAGCCATTGGTCTGTTTGATAAGTTCATGCTTTCTACATTGAGCTGTGTGTTTTGTTTAGATTCTGGTTCTCAGTATCTACGTGCCACTTGGCAGTTTTATTGGCTGAAACACACTGACCAAACCGCCCGCGTCCTGCTTATCTTTGCCACACTGAGTCATTCTGCTTTCATTTATTGTCTGCCAAATGTTGATTCCCGATACCGAGTCTGTAGTTCCTGGAGTTGTTGACAAGCGGAGGTGTTTGGACGGAGACAGCTTCACGGACTCGAAAACAGTGGATCTGTGAGCTGTGACTAGCGTCTGACTCATCGCGCAACATACTGTTGGATTTTCATCCCAAGCGTATGACTCACAGCGGAATGAGTCGCTCTGCCTAATTCTGTATAAGTTCATGGATTTACCGGCTCGGATATCGGTTTATTCTCCCGACCTAGCTCACGTTTCGGCCCACGCTCTGTGCTGCGGTGGTGTTCCCTAAGTTGGCGTGGTGATTTGGTGACCTTTCAGCAATATGACGCACAGTAACCTGTTTACTGACATGGACGTGACCCAGACTATGACCTGGCTTTAATTTGCTGAGGTATCGTCCATTGAGGGGTCCATAGGGATGAGAAGTTTGGGGCTTATGTCCCCCGCAGCTCCCGAAGCTGTTTCAACTTTGCCCGGTTTGCATAGGCGGCGGAACGGGGGGAGGGGGCACCGGGGCATCGTCCCTCCCTTTGATTTGGACATTTTAACATCAGCCCTATGGGCGTTACATGGAAAGAATGTGACCAAAAGTCCGCACTGCCACCCCCCCCTTCCCTTAATTGAAGGTGTTCCGTCGCCACTGCCGGTTTGTTAGTCGGGTACTGTGCTGAAAAGGATTTTTTTAACAAAATATGTAAGGAAAAGTTTTTTTCGTAATTAAAAACATAACATGAATGAAAAATACGAAGAGTTTTAAATTGGAGGGGATTTTTGAGTGTTTGTGATATGCAATGCATGACCTCAGCGTCGAATACCACATTTCTGGGCCCATCTATCGGCGATGCTTTCGATCAGTCGGTGAACTCGACACGATCCTGCACGATTGGCCCAGAGACAGAACCAAGTTTTGCCCCGCCATCGTCCAGTCGAGCTCACGTATGAGCTCACGGAATCCAAATCTCTCACACATCAGCTGTAAAATCATCTCTTTGTCAGTCTACTGGTTCAATGGCTGTTACCGCCACCTCACATTCGTAATTATGGCATCCTCTCACATTTGACTTGTCATGCTAGATGTTGAAAAATGTCCTGCCCTACCATACTGACCCCTAATGCTCTATCCCTCCGCCTGACCCTGCCTCATCTCTCCTGTCTAGTACTTTTTGCCCTGTGGCGCGACCCAGCACGCGTTGCCCAGTCATTTCGACTCTATCCCTGCCCCGTCGCCCCGATCCAACTCGTCTTGCCCGTCTCCCCAACGCAGCACGCTCTGCCCCTTTCCTGCTGTCGACCTAGCACGATTTGCCCCCGTCGCCCCGACCCAGCTCGCTCTACCCCATCGCCCCAACCCAGCTCGCTCTACCCGGTCGCTCCGACCCAGTACCGTCGGTCCGTCGAGGTCACCAGACGGCCCCATCGCTCAGCTGACGGCTCGGGCTGTCGGCGCCGGCGGCAGCGCCGACAGCGGCGGCCAGTTTCCGGTGCTGGCACCTGCCACGTGCCGCCAATGAGCTGCCGCGCCGCCCCCGCGCGACCAATGGCTCGCCGCAGCCGCGCAGATGATCCGTACCCCTCACGGCGATGGCTAGTTTAGTTTTCTGCCGCTAGGCGGCATTGCCGTGCCTGCCCTGTTTTGTGGGGCCGCGCTGCGCACCCCCTTTAAATGTTTTTGCTCTGCTTCCTGTGGTTGCAGTGGATATTTTTGTGTGGAGGAAGCAGATGTCAGCTAGCGGCCTGCCTCTGAGGCGGGGGGGGGGGGAGCGTGTGACGTCATCACGTCTGTTTCCATGTCTGGTCGTCAGTTTCGTGCACCCTGTGATCAGCGGACGGAGGCGGGGGTGGGGCGAGCTATTTCGGACCCCTGCCGGTGGATTCGTGGTCCAGTCTGGCCTAGTGGCCGGCTGGCTCACGTCAATTGGCCATTAGGAGGGTCCGCAGAGGTTTTACCGGGATGTGAGTGCCCGGTGATGGTTTTAGACGAGCTGGCGGTATTTTGGATTTTCACCTGGTTGGTGGCGCTAGGTAGATTACTTAGGCTAATTGGCTGAGTGTTACCTATAGATAACTACGGGGAGAAGGGGGACTTCTGATTGTGTGCTGTTACATTTTTGGCACTATCAAGATCCTGAATTAGCTCTTATCGATGGAGAGAACAGGTGTTTGAAAAAAAAAATAGACGAGGGGAGATCCAAAGGGAAATCTTGCACACATTTCTTAAGTCCTCTTATGGGCCAATCGGTGGGTCATATAGCCTGTGAGGCTGGCTTTTTCCATTTTAGGCTCACCCCTCTGCGCTTCAGCTCATTTGGCTAAATTGTTTCTAGCAAACACCTGGCATCCCTTTCACTGCGCCGCTTGGCCTGGTGACCTGACAAGCATGAATGACAATCGTCACGGCACTGATGATGATTCTCAGGACATCTTATGAGAGCATTCTATGAGCAGCTGTCCATTCTAAGCTGAGCTCATTGAAGGGTCTTGAGTCCGTGCTTGTTTTCGTGTCAATGAGCATAATCATAAACAGGTCACGTATATGCTGGCTAGGAACAGTTTTTTTTTTTCGCAGCCATTGATGTGAAATGTTGGGACCATCGCTGACTAGTCTCTCTTTGGTCACCCAAAGCCATTTGGTCCTTTATCGGTGCGACTGGGCGCATTAGTTGAATCCTGATGAATGATCAGCGACCGATTCTGCTTTCAAACTACTGTTAACTCCTTTCTGAGCAGCTTACATCGCCGAAGCAAATAGCTCAAACGTGAAACAGGCACGGCATAGCCGGCCTCGAATGTCCCATGTAATCCGAATATCGAACATGTATACTCGTCTATATGGAGCTCAAACGGCCGTCCAGTATCACTCCAACTGTCTACCAAGTCAGTTAACTCTGATTAATGGCAGCTCCAAACAGCTTAATCAAACGCCCGAACAGTGGCAAGGAGGGTGTTGGAACGCTCGCTGGTGAGTTGTTGGGCACGGTTTCGTGTTCTGGATAGAACCAGGCTGGTTGGTTTTATAGCTTTGTCACCGTCGTGATTTTTGTGATGACGTCAACACAGCGACACTCAAACTGTATCGGATCGACAGTGGTGTTGTGCTTAGCTGCAGATCCCGCAAACTGAACACGATTCGACAAGAAAATCGCACATAGCTCGGAACGGACGTACCGAAGCAGCTACCGAGCTATTCGTGGAAGCTATTTGATTTATTTTGTTTTTGTTATTTTTGCGCACGTGCAGCGGTCCGCACGAGGTGTTTTCGGTGGCGCGTTTGTGTTCGGTGGATGGCATTGGAGCGAAGATAATCGCCATCACCTGACAATTGGCCTGGCGCGGCTCGTCAAAGGAACGCTGGTTTCTTCGTATACGATTTAACCCTATTCCTGGCGGGGGGCCTCAGGAGCCCCCCCCTGAGGTTTTTTGGTTATATCTCCCAAACGCGTTGAGCTAGGAAGCTCAAATTTTCTGACTTTTCCTAAAAGGCTTCTACGCAACATGTCTGAAAATTTTGAGTTGATCTGACCTCAGGTCAGGTCAC